ATAATTAGTAAAAGTACACTTGATTTCTACTCATGGAGTCTCGTGGTCTTCTTTCCTAATTATCTAATGGAGAGGATCTGACACCTTACTTGTATGCCATTCAAAACGTATATAACCAATATCCCAGGATAACGTAATAGAATTGGAGGTGACAAGCAAAGCGGATGACAAATCTTGCACAGAATACCTATTAATAATGGTGAAAAGCAACCCTGAAATATGCTAAAAAATAGCATCTCTTTAAGCTTTTAGGATCAAGAATTTAATGCTATTAACTATTTTCTGGGACCTGTATTTCGAATTACCTGAAGAATGAAAAAGAAAAATAACTTAAAACAAAGAAACATTTTAAGTCTTAAGGAAAAAATAAAACTCTTGTCATATTCATATTCAATATTTCTATATTATCAAGGACAGTCAAGTTTGACTTTGTCCTTCATTGTAGAGTTTTCAAACTCTTTCTTCTGTTGATTTTTTTTTTGAGAAAGCAATTCTGTTTAATTTCCACTGAGACAGAAAAATATAAACTTAGTTTCTTCTGAAACTTTGGAACAAAAGCATAAAGTAATAATTTATGGTTTCCTAAAAATGTAAATATGCAGCAAAATGTAAACTTAGTTTCTTCAGGAAACTTTAGAACAAAAGCGTGAACTAATTATTTATGGTTCCTAAAAATGTAAATATGCTGCAATTTTCTTTACAGCTTTTCTAACAGAATGCAGAAGAGGCATGCTTATTATGACTTAAGGCATTCGGTGTACTTTAATTTTGCTAACCCCTTGTTTTTACTTTTAGGCAATACTGCAAAGATATTCATTGAGGTTCAGGATGAAAACGATCATGCTCCTATCTTCACGAAAAAAATTTATATAGGAGGTGTCTCTGAAGACGCTAGAATGTTTTCTTCCGTGATCAAAGTGAAGGTAGGAATTATGCTGAACAACCCATTTTGTTTTCAATATTTTTAGAAGGTACACTTACAAAGCCTACTATCCATTCAAACATGTACCCTAGAGTCTTATCTGCATGCAGAAAGATCACTTAGTATGCAATGCATACAGATTTTCAGCTATCTGAGAATGGAAGCTTTGCTTATTGCTTATTATTTAACAGAAATTTCCAAAACTGCAGAAGAAGCGTTAGAAGGAATTTGAAAATGAGAGCTGGGCTCAAAATTGCTACACTCCCTTAAATACAGAAGCAGCTTCTATAATAATTCTTTAAGTTTTTGTAAATGAAGGGATTTTTTAATTACTGCTTTTTTAATCCCAATGTAGCCTATTAATACTTCCAGTTAGATCCAATATTTTTAACTTATTGTATGTATTGATATAATAAATTATTTCTACTACATGCTGCCCACTCTTTAAAGTATAATTATTCATAGAATAACAAAGTTGGAAGGGACCTTAGAAGTCATCTAGTCCAACCATGTGCATGAGCAGGAGAACCTGTACCATTTCAAACAAATGGCTGTCCAGTCCCTTCTTGAAAGCCTCCAATGATGGGGCACCCAGTACTTCTGAAGCAAGCCATTCTACTGGTAATTGTTCTCACCATTAGAAAATTTCTCCCTAGTGTTAGGTTACTTCTCTCCTTGATTATGGTTTCCATCCATTGTTTCTTGTCTTTCCTTCAGGTGCTTTGGAAAATAGTTTGACACCCTGTTCTTTGTGGCTGCCCCTCAGTTATCAGAACACTGTTATCATGTTTCCCCTAGTTCTTCATACCCAATTCCTGCAACTGTTCTTCGTATGTTTTATTCTCACTTAAATATAGAGTCAGCTTCTGTTCTTTGAGTTTTGATAAATAAAGGGCTTTTTAATTACTTCTTTCTTTTTTAATCCCAAAGTATGCTGTTAATACTTCTAGTCAGATCCAGTATTTTTTAACTTGTTGTACTTATTGATATAATAAATTGTTTCTAAAATATGATGCCTACGCTTTAAGGTATAATTATTCTTGCTTACCCATTCAAAATCTGAACTCCTGTATCTTACCCAGAAGATGCTACTTAATGTTGCTACCAGTGGAAAGGTTGGAAAAGATGATTGATGAGAAGTGTGTTTTTGTAGCTCAATCTAGCTCTTCCCCTAGTTGCAATATCTCTGAATTAACATAATTAAGAACTGCCTGAAATAAAATATGGAAGAAACACCTGCTGTTGTTGTTCCATTAGGGTCAATGAAGACAGAATTCCTTATAAATTAGGGGTTTGGAACTACTTTTCTATTTTAAAAAAGTTTATACACTTTTCCAGATCCATTATTGTACATAAAATACAAAATGAGGTAGATAACAAGCTAAATCTAAACAAATATAATGAATTATTTTGTGTCCTGAAAACAGAATCACTTCTGAATGTAGAGGTAAGCTACATACAGAGCATTGGATATTGCCTGAAAAATAACTTTGTACCTTTTCATAGAACAATTTTATCATTATATATCTTACTTATTTACTTTATTCTCATTGTACATATATGCAAATTATATACATACAACAAAATTCACACAACATCCAGAGACCAGACCCAACACACATAACAATCCCCAAATACACCCCCACCCACCAAAAAAATTCCCCGCCCCTAAACCACCCAAACATCTACACAACAGACCCAGTAGTGCTGTCCAATAGCTCACTGATGATGGCCCTTTATCTATGACTATAAAGACATTTTATTTGTTGGACAAATAGTAGTATGATTATAAGGTGAATATTCAGTGCGGTATCTGATTTCTTTATATCATGCACATATATATTGGTTTCTGTCATGATGGACTCTTGTGACGAGCCGATTGACAGATGATGGAAGCAGTTAGCTTCCTCCCATAATTGGGGCTTACCAGGGGTTGTAAAAATCTAATAGATACCTTTCACCCTGGCTTCGCTGATAACGGATAAGAGCCTGTGGCCTAATGGCTAAGATGTTTGCCTAGTATGTAATATAGCCCAGGTTCAAATCCCAGTAAGGGTATGGCTAGCTGATGAGAGCTAAATAGCTTGAAATAGATCTATACTAGTCTCCCTTTATTTATTTATCAGCACAAATAAAAAACCATATGTTTTGTTGTATTTGTGCTGATAAATAAATAAAGGGAGGCTAGTATAGATCGATTTCAAGCTATTTGTATACTATACTACTGCTATCTGTATACCTTTTTACCATGCTGTATGTTAAGTTCCCTCTAAAATTTTAAGGCCATGTATGTAATACTCCTTCTTCCAGGTTTTCCCGCATTAACTACAGCAAAAAGTTTCATTTGGTTGTATGATAATTTAATATAATTTGAGCTCCTAATGCAGTATGTGGAGCATAAGAAAAATGAACAAATCATATTTATTCATCAAATTTCTTATACCTCCATCACAGAAAATCTAACGGGCATTATTTTTTTAAACATTGTTTGGGATATACAGTAGACTGAAAACATTTTCAGGCTGATTAATGTTGTTTTAAATCATAAGAAATACTTCTTTAACTTTTATTGATTTTCCAAAACTGGATATTTATTGTAAAAGTCTTGTTGTACAGATAATAAATAACTAGTAATATTAATGTTGATCATAGATTTAAATTTCTGATCAAAAATAAATTGTTGGTTTTGCTTTAAATATAGTTCCTTTTTAAAAATCCAAGCATTTTAGGTGTTTCTGAAGCTCCCAAATCATATGGGCCAGATTTCGATCAACTAAAATGTTTTGATGGAGGTGGAGCCACTATAAAAATGGGGAAACAACCAATAAATAACAAAATACTGTACAACTAAATATTTTCTGCTTTACATCTTTTTAAAAACTATGTATTGAATTTTAGGATTCCAAATTCACAATAACTCTTCTTATACTGGAGAAAGCCTGAAGTAATGAATAAAGCAAAGGATATAGAAAAATGCCATTTTGGTTTTGAAGTTCAAACCTTACACTAAAAACAGAATCAAAAGGATATTTCTGATTACTTAGCTCAGTTGCTGCATTTTAATGGAAAGGGAAGTTCTATCGGTGCAAATTTAATAGGAGGGATCATTAAAATTCACACTTAAAATAAGATGTAAGAAAAGAAATAGTTGATCTCTTGAGTAAAAAAAAAAAAGGCTCTAAATTTTTGCTGAGGTAGAAATGTTCCGTTATTATTGCTATTCCTATGAGTTTCTCTACAGGTCATTGACAATGATAAATGTATGTGAAAACTTGAAAATAGGAAATATCAGAAAATTTTGATGTCAGATTTTTAACTCTTCAGGAGCATTGTATGCTTTATATTCTGAGCCAGATTCTAGTACATTAGTTGATCATATTAGATAAACAGCCTTTTCCAAATAATGTGTTTTAATTGAATCTTAAAAGGAAGAGTTGTCATGGTGCTGTTGAGTTTTTATTCTGAATGAGAGAACATTGGACATTTGTGGTTTATAGTGCTGCCAAATTACTAGTGGAGAATCAGTGGAGAACCACAGCTAGATTTATTTATTTTTTTTTGCTTTCCAGCCATATAAATTCTAGAAATGTAAGCTGCTGTTTACATATGTTCAGATTAAAATGCAAACCAACCTAATTACTCCCTACTGCTATTAAGACAGGTGTGAGGCTTTGCTCACCACAATTTCTTCTCATTTGTGGCATGTTCTCAGTAAAAACCAAGCCAAATAGATGATTCTTCAGATGTGTTCTGTTTTTTCCAGACTGTGAGAAGGATGGGAAGCTGCCAGAGGCATCAGTAGCAATGTTATTCCTTGGGAGAAATTGAAACTTAAGGAGTAAAATACAGTTTTAAAATATTCTTTCCATATGCCAGAATACTGATCAAGCTATCATGTGGCTATTAAAACCAATTGCATTAAATGTAAACACACATTTAACATATCGTACCATTTGCCTCTTGATTTTTCTTTAACAAAAGAGAAACCAACCCTCAGTTGTACCAATAAAAAAGAAAAAGAGGAATAAAGAACACTATTGTCCATACTGAGCTAGCAAAGAGTGATGGGAAATCTTTGTAATGTAAAAGAGAATCCACAAAGAAGAAAAGATATGTCAAAGTGAAGCTAATTATGGATCTTATGAAGCTTTGAATCTTCATTATTTATGTGTTTATACATTTCGGTTCATACAGAATAGAATAACAAAATAACAGAATGACAGAGTTGGAAGGGACCTTGGCAGTCTTCTAATCTAACCACTTGCTGAAGCAGGAAACCCTATACCATTTCAGACAAATGGTTGTCTAAAAACCTCTAGTGTTAGACAGCACACAATTTTTAGCAGCAAGTCATTCCACAAATTAATAGTTCTGTCAGGAAATTTCTCCTTATTTCTACGTTGGATCTCTTCTTGATTAGTTTTCGTCCCTTGTTTCTTGTTCTACCCTCAGGTGCTTTGGAGAATAGCTTGACTCCCTCTTCTTTGTGGCAACCCCTGAGATATTGGGACACTGCTATTATGTCTCCCCTAATCCTTCTTTTCATTAAACTAGACATACCCAATTCCAGCAACCGTTCTTCATATGTTTTAGCCTTCAATGCCTTAATCACCTTCGTTGCTCCTATCCTATTTTTGCTCACATAAATAATCATGTGAGGGTTTATTTGTTCTGGAAGACACTCCACAGAACAATCATGCGTTGAAGTGGATCAGGATTTAGGCATCCCTAGTTCTAGTCCAACATCGTAACTACTGTACCACACTGGCTTTATTTATACATCAGATTTCGAATTTGACACAAATATAGACAAGACTGCAGGCCATAAGCATAACCATGTCTTGCCAAAAAGATATATTAGTTAGAACATTTCTTTAAATGCCATTCACATAAATGTTATTCTTTTAGCAAGCAGTATTATGATGAATGACTGCTGAGATTTGCTCTGCTGAGTAAGAAAGGTGCCATTTTTACATTTTCGATTTTCTACTAGATTAAGATTTGTACTTTGGAGGGGAGGGGGCTGAACCTAAATAATATAAATGATCTAATATAAATATTAGAAATAAAACAAAATCTTGCAACTCATAATGTGAGAAAATAAAGATAGATGAGCAGAGTGTCAAAATATGTTCAAAAAAAATAAAATAAAGTAAAGCCATTTGTAAGGACAAAACAGAAAAATGTTATCCACAATGCTTTGTCAAAGAAAATTCTGTCCCTTCCCCTTAGCCAAAAGAATCAGAGTAGTCCTGGGCAGTTGCTGGAGAAGAATTGACTTATTAAGACCTGTGGGAGAAGCCACTGGTAAGGACTAACAGATGAACCAGAAATGTAGATTATTTAGCATCAAGATACTTGAAGGATTATCTATTCCAGTTAGGGTCAACTTGTCCAAGGACTCCCTATAGAAGATGATATTGGAAATGCCCCATTTTCATAAGACAAGGAGGAACTAAGGCAAGTAGGTTTTATATTGTCACTTTTGGATCTCTTCTTTGAAATAGCCTGCATCTAAAAGTTAGACTGCACCTTTTCCATAGGAGAGCAAAACTAAACTAAGGAGTTTTAAGGTGTAATTCTTCAGCACCGTGATGTTCTTATTCTACACATTACTATTATTGCCGTTTTTTTATACTCTCTTGAAACCTGCTGAGAATCTGAATGGTTTGGTAGCTCAGTCCAGAAGACAGGATAGAGCTACAAAGCAGAAATCAACCAATACCCAAATACTCTGTGATTCAGGAACATATCGAAATTATTTCTTGCTTAGGAATGCTCAAAGCTTCTTTTAACCTTTCCTGCCCAAGAAGAAGAACCAGGAGGCAGATTGTATGGTACAGAACATCTAAGCTCATGATTCAAGACAAAACATAATTTGTTTTTAACCAGGATTTTATAAACAAAGTTTCATAGTCAGCATCACATTAAGTGAAGGGCAAACAAAGTAGTATGATACAGGTATTCCTTGACTTACAACCATTCGCTTAGGGACTATTCAAAGTTACAATGGTGCTG